CTCGATATCATTCATCATTGCGGCTGCGCCGCAATACTGAATAATATCTCGATTGATCCGTGATGTTTAATGATATCTATGATAAAACGTGTAATAACTAGTCATGATTTATTTTCAAATTAACCTTTAGTTCAATTACTAAATATATTTATTTTTTTAAAAAGTATTTTACGTTATCCGGATTGAAAACTAATATCAGTGACTTGGGCGCTACAGGATGGGGTTGGGCGATCTTGATAATCATCGTTGCCATGATTGGCAAAGTAACTGGTTGTACTGCTGCTGCTAAAGCAACAGGTTTAACTTTTAGAGAAGCTTTAACAGTTGGTGTTTTTATGAGTTGTAAAGGGTAATTATGTATCTAATATATCCGGTTAACATTAATAACTCTTAATACTAATAATTTTGATCTTTATATGCTCATCTAGTCTTGTAGAATTAATTATCCTCAATGTTGGTTATGATGCAAAAATTATAAATAGTAAAGTTTTCTCGATCATGGTCGTCATGTAAGTGCTATTTATTTTGGTTAAAAAGAAAATCATTTATAAAATGTACACATTTAATAAAATACATTAATATATTCATGTTTGCTTATGTAGGGCCCTCGTGACGACTTTTATTACAACTCCGCTTGCCACTTATTTGTATCCTATTCAGTATCAAAATCAAATGAAACAGGAACGTAGACGTAGAAAGAAGGATATTGAATCAACAGATTTTTCAAAAGAAAATATCAGATTGTTAGTTGTACTAAAAAAAGTTGAAAATCTCCCTGCTATGATAACTTTTGTACAACTTTTACAACCTAACAAAGCTCCTATCAAATCAACTTTACAAAATTCCGATGATCAATCTGACTTAAGCACAACTAAAGCTATGAAACCTATGAGTATTTATGTTTTACGTCTTCTTGAGCTTACGCAACGTATGTCAGCAGTGATGAAGTTTAATGAAATATCGGAAACTATCTTACATGATCCAATTATGAATATGTTCACTGCACTTAGTCAAATTAATTCAGTAAAGGTTGAGCCCAAGCTAGCTGTTGCTAATCCAAAAGATTATTGCCAGGAAATTGTTGATAAAATACAGGATGCTGACATTAACTTAGTAATAATTCCATGGAGTGGTGCTGGCGAGATAGTAGATACGCCAATTGAAAATGAAGATCATACTCCACGCGAGAAAAAACATACAAGTCCACATGTTGCAAGTTTTGTTCAAGGAGTTTTTAGTGAATCAAAGATTTACGCAAGCGTGGGCGCGTTTGTTGACCGTGGTTTTGGTAGCAGCGACAGTAATATACGTACACTCCCTAATCCTATGGGTTATCTCCGTGTTTTCGTACCATTCTTCGGTGGTGCTGATGACCGTGAATCTCTAACTTTCGTTTTTAAATTACTTGAATATCCAAATATCAATATAACTGTTCTGAGGATAATAAAATCAGAAACACTTACTGGTAACGAAGTCACATTAAAACCTGAAATTCAATCCGAAATTCCCGACGACGAAAAAAATCGCCCTCCGCTTGACCGACAAATTTCAACTATTTCTATAAGTGATGCTGCTGCGAGCCGGGAGAATGAAGAGGACGAATCTTTCTTGGAAAAACACTTAAAATCAAAATCAGGATATCCTAGCAAAAATGCACGTATAAGTTATCAAGAAATTAAATCTAATACACCCATACAAACTGCTGTTGAACGTGCCAAAGATGTTGTCGATAGAAAAGATTTAGTTGTTGTAGGGCGTAGTCATCATTCGCATGCAAATGAACGTCATCACCATCATGAATTCAGGGAATTAATTAAAAATTTAGGAAGTTATGGCAATGATACACATAAATCTTTAGGCTACGTAGCTGAAGCATTTTTAGTTGGAGGTGTTTTGGCTAGTCTTTTAGTGTTGCAGGCAAAGGATGTTGAAGATAAAAAATGAATTGATTAAATAATTTATATATCTATGTAGTAATTTTTTTAGAGCTTGGGCCCGGGCATTATAATACATAATTAATGTCTGGGTAGTCGGAATAATCCCGAATATCCATTTATTTATTAATTTATTTATTGTAAATTTATTATATTAAGAACAACTGTTGTCCGGGTCCAAACTCTAATTTTTTCTTTGATTATTGGTGCGAGGAGAAATTGGTCATTGGTTACAAAAATCACTGAGTAATTTCTTCTCGACCAAACAAAATAACCAGCTATGGCACGAAACATGTCCCTCGCAACCTGAAAATCGAATTAGGTCAAAATCATCGAGCTGAAAAAAAAAAAAAAAAACTGAGGAAAACAAGCCTGGCAGATTCTTAACATATTATTACCAAAAAAATTAATATAGTCATTTTAATAAAATTTATTTTAAAAAGTCCCGGGCATGAAAAGTTATCTAGCTCATAGGAAAAAACTTATCATATGTAGTTGTCATATGATATAACGAAATTAGAATTCATGACAGTAGATGGATTACGTACTAGTATATACAGTACTAACGCTAACATACTGTAAATGTTAACATAATGCAGTAATGTTAAAAAAATGCATAAACACATAAATTATATACATATTACTAACTTCAATATTAATTTAATATATATATATATATATATATATATATAAATGCAGGTTATAAAATCACGAACTTGATCATGCGTTCCCTAACTATTGAATTGAATGAATCACATACACGTGAACGAGATAATAAGAATAATGAATCCATCAGGAACAGAGGAAATCCGTAGTATTAATTCATTTTATTTTGTTTAGTAAAAGTTGAATAACCCATCGATTAACAAATTTTAAGAGCTTTA